AATGCTTGTTTCGTAGCTTATATGAGTATGAAGTTACAAGTTTCGTTCAAGCAGAAAAGACACGGTGTCGCATCAAGTGATGATTGATGTAGGTATCTACCGTACTCGGTCGTGATCGGAGGTGAAGGAAAAGTCGCGGATACAATCGATACGGTATTTACTTAATAGTGCGCAATAATGTCTTGTTAATTCATTCAATCTAAAATTCAGAAGGTTATTAGGGTAAAGTGGGCAAATTCAAATACCGGCCCTGGGGGTAATGCCGGACATTCAGTATCTCCCCATCCCAGTAACTTTACATGGGTATAACAGTGAAATCATGTGACCCTCTCACAAGAAACGCTTAGTTTGAATTTGAACGTGCTCCAGACACCTACACGTGAATAGTAAATTATTTTCTGAAAGTGACCCTTTTCTTATAAGAATCGTGCAACTTTGAAGGTAAGAATCTCAGTTTTATAGACCAAACAAAGTCTTAAAGTTACAATATCATTAAGCATTTTTAAATAACAACTCACTGCAAAGGCATGTGCTTATGGGGTAAGACCAGACTGATGACTGATGTCGCTGGGGGAAATTTAAGAGACAAGTGTTTCCGTCATCTGGTGACATATCAACCCCCATGGTTCGCAAGAACTTACAAACCGTTGATGAAGATTCTGATAAAGAAATCACAGAAGATATCTGCATAATATGGAGAAGTTGGAAGAAATCATCATCAAGCATGCACAGACGGCGAAAAGCAGAAAAAATACTTATGTTTGCGATTTTTGCCAATAAACCAAAATTTCAGTATTTATTCAATATATATATATATATATATATATATATATTTTTTTTTTGGTAATAGCAGCCCCTGGTCGCGGTTACCTCACTATAAGTGCGGGTACTACCGGCCACTATTGGTTTTTTAAAAAAAACTATATTTTTATTTATGTTAATAATAAGTTTTGACAATAAAGTAGGATTGTGTATTGTCTGAACTTTATATTGGTATATAAATCATTTCCCTAACTTAAAAAATGTGGTCACAATCACAGAACTTGATTAAGGGGCCGCGATTCCCCACTTCACCCTACGTTTGCGACACTAAGTCAGCTTGACCTCTGCAGGTGAATAAGAGTTATTTGTGTTTTACATATGGCCTTATGCGATTAAGTATCATCAAAGATCATACTACGCGTATCATTTTCAATGTCTCCCAACGGTTGCATGGATTGCGAAATCTGTGTAAAATAGTATATTAAGATACAAGTGTATAATCAAGTCTTTAAAGCACGCGCAACGAGTTTAAGGGCACGACGCAAAGCGGAGTGCCTTTAACGTTGCAAGTGCTTTAAAGATAAATTATACACGTGTATCTTATAGTATTTTTTATTATACCTGCAGTATAATTTAAAAATAGGAAATACAATGAAGTCATATTGACGTTATACTCGAATACATGTCTATTTAAGTGGGCTGGGTGTTCGTAATTTCACGATTGCCATGGAAATGTCACTTGACGTTTGCTTATAAAAATCATCGTCTTTGTGAATGAAACGATTTCCGTTGAAAAAGATAATACACCGTCCATTAAATAGCTTGTTGTAGAATATAAACAAACGTTGGTAGGTGTAAAATCCAATCCAGTAAAGCCTATTATAAAGAATATGAAAAGTTGTTTCCATGGATGAATAGGAAGTTACTTACGAATACAGTCTTAAATGCATCCATAATGCTGGCATATATGAAGGAAATGTCAAAGGTATTTAAAATCTTCTATATTTTGGTGCATTCATTCAAAACTTTAAAGCAATGCTGCGATTAAAAAGTGGAACAGATTTGGAAGCATACCCTAAATTACGCGCGTTTGTGAAACCTTCAACCAAAGGATAGGTACAAAAGCCAAAGAAATGTTCTGCATTTACAGAAAGCGACCTAAGAGGATTTTTTATTTCATCCAGATGACAGCAAAAGTCATACTTGAAGTATCGTTACTTAGCAACTTTAAAGCACGTGTGTTTTAAAGGCCTTTTTTCGCACGCATTTGAGTGTTTAAAACGGAGATTGTCATTCAGGTATAATAAAATTAGTTATTTATATACCAAGAGCGCGAAGTTCAATTTCGCGCATTGAGACTGAAGGTATTTTGACAAGGCGAAGCCGAGTCAAAATATCAGTCAAATGCGCGAAATAACTTCGCGCTAGCGTTATATACAATATTTTTTCTACAACTGAACCGATTGTTAATTAAATTTGCTGTTTAAGTTCAACTTTGTCACGTGCGCGAAATACTTTTTTTCACTGTTGACGATTTCGCGCACGTTGTCAATAGCAACCTTACTTATTTATTAATTAACCGTTTAAAAATCTAGTATTTCGCGTTTCGAAATCCGTCAGAAAATGACAGGTTTTTTTGACAGTTGTAGAAAAAATCGATTTTATTACGCCGACGCATTTTGAATTTTCTGGTAAAAACTCAAATGTGTGATCAGATCAGGATGGTACCACATATAGCATCCTTGGGTACCACCAATAACGGGCATCTTTCCCCCCTTCACCCAAATTGTAACGACACGTTTTCATTTTCATTCTTCGTTACATTTTGCATGTGTTGTGTTGTCATAGTCTTTTAAAAATCCGTCATTTTACGGAACGCCTAGTCGTTTATTGAAACTGTGGAGACTAGTGTACCTTTCTAGGGTGAGTTGGTTCGCCTTCCCCTTCCGGAGATCGATAAATGGTATCACTTATCGATCTAAGTGCTTGTTCACAATGGACATAAGCATAACAAAAACATAACAGATACATAATTCATAATGTTGAATAGTAGCAAACCAACGTATGTGTTCACAATGATTACATAATTTTTATTTTTTTGTAAATGTTTGCGTATGTTTTATGTCCTACCGAAACGGTACATAAAAAATACATAAAGTTGGGTCGGTTTCAACTTTACGTAGGTTTTATGAAAAATCTAGTGGAATTAGGTGTATTTCTGTTGGGTACAAAGACGCAGCTGTTGGTTTGACATTTCAGTTACTACGTCTAACGTCGATGACATCTCTTCTGCCAACATAATCTGGTTATTTTTAAATTGGTACATAGTTTTTGGCGCATTATTTCATAGTTTGGTGTGGTTTGGTCCTTCGTGTGTTGTTTTTTGATTATATCCAACACGACATGGAAAACGTATAGACGTCGAATTATTAATTAGTTTGGTGCGATTAAAACCCTAATTGTTTAATAAAGGGGACAAAAGATATAAGTTTAATAGGTGATCGAATAATCCTGGTGTATGAAAAAAACCATATTCTTCATCATGCAGCTTCATTTCTAGACAAGCTTAAATTCTTAAATTCTCCCCTTTTCTCTCGGTCTCGATTTATAGGTCTGACCCACCAACGCCGTTTTTGTTTTGTAACAACTTTGTCTCTGTGTCTTCATAACAGTAAAAGCAATAAAACTGTTGAAATTTCCATCTCAGTGGCACACACATATACACCACAAATAATATTGTTATGTTCTTGACGTTTTGATTTGCGCCTACGCAGATAATTATAATCTTACGGTCACTGTGAACACTTTCTCCACCTGCGTAAAATTATGTCTTATGTCAATATTATGTTTTATGTATCTGTTATGTTTTTGTAACGCTTATGTCCATTGTGAACAAGCACTAACATCTAACGGGAGTTCAAAAAAGGATTGGCATCCGGCATCGGATAGAACGGACGTACAAGTTAATTATGATTTCAAATTTGCACTGTCGAAAAACCAGCGCAACACATACACAAAACGCCTATAAGTATAAAAAACGAAGATTTAGTTTGGTTTCATAAATAACCCCCGTAGAGGTTGTCAAAAATTGCCTTAGCGGACGGTATTTCACGTCCACTTGGCGGGGTATTGGTATAAAGTTTTCAACTAGCAATAATTGCACCTCAGTTATACTTCATCGGTTACAATATCGCCACTGCGCAAAGCTGACTTTACGATTTCCAAGTGAGGCATATGATCAAATATCACTATTGATCAAACTAGCAGAAATACTAGAAGCGCCATCTACTGTGAACAATTCTTGACGTACCAACACGTTAGGCATCTACTTACTCGATATGCTTGCATCTTCTACATAACCTACATTATTATACTCTCATATTATTCTCGCCAAGAAAGATTGCCGGTCACAGTACACTTTTGTGTCGATCTACAATCTATGTTTTTCTTAAGATGCGAGCGACTTCCGGAATAGGATCGTGCCAATGTTGAACGAAAAGTCTTTTCTTTTAACATTGACACTATACTCTACTATTGTAGATCGGGATGAAGTGTTCTGTGACCGGCAATCTTTCCTGGCGAGAGATTTATGAAATGACTAGGCCAACATAGGATAAAAAATTCTGTTTCAATATAGTCAAATGACTGCACCCCAGCCGTGGTTTGGTCACAGACAAGCTCATACATTAATTTAGCACTTAACTAGGTAAATTTTTTTACATTTTCAATAGTCCTGCTTCTAATTTATTACTGATGCTGAATATCACAAGTTTTAAAATATTAGGTGGGGAACAAGAAGTTATAATATAGCATATTTTCTCCTTTTTTCCGTTCTTCTCGCTACCTACCGGGTTCTGGTTCTCACTGGGAAGAAAGCCTCCATTGTGTGCCTTCTCAGCTGAAGTGTAAACGGGGAAAATGTGTAAAAAAAGTTGCTTCAACAAATTTATAGTTATAAAATGTGGAGTAGAACCAAACAACCATTATTGACATCAATTTCGTTTGGTCTAATTTCTAGGTTGTGATTTGGACAAAATAAGGATTCAAAATGGTTATGTTAAAATAGTATTTGGTCAGATAATTAACCACTGGCGCCAAAGTGTTGAAGGAAAATCTCAATGTGCATTTGGAATAAGTAGCTCAATTTAAACTGAACAGTGTCCAGACAGAAACATAAATAATGAAGGAAGGCAGCAACAAATTGATTTAAATGTAATCAGTAAACCTTAGGTATTATGTAATAGCAATAAAATGTTTCATTATATTCTCCTCAACTTTAACCATCACATGTCTGCACATCCTGTTTACATGTACTAAATTTACGAAAAATGTCAAAGAAATGCTCTGCACTCACTCAACGTCGGAGAGACAATCTATATTTTAGCATCACGTTTCAATTTATACACTTGAAATAAATAAGACCGATTTTCCACTGTAAGCAAGCAGGACAAATGGTAGACTTTCGATCTGAAACGCTGTAAACATTATACATCAACCATATAAATGCACACTTAGATACTAATATAAAAACAAATATTTAATTAGAGCACCATTTCATTTGAACACCCTGCAGTAGTTTTTCACAATTTTTCCCTATACACCATGAATTCTAAAATAAAAAACATTAGTAAATCACCGCTGGAAATATCAAAAAACTTTACCGTCTCATATGAGTTTTCAGATTTTTTTCTTCTCTAAACGTATTTGCGCACAATAGGCAACAAAAGGGTCGATAGCCTGAGTGTAATTTTAGATGAGTGTCCAATTCCTCTTTGGAGGCAAGTTTGTCATCACATTTTGTACATTTAAACTGATTATTGGTTGCATGCACTTTCTTCTGATGTTTAGTCAACGTCGCTTTGGTGACATAGCGTTTGTCACAAAGTTCGCAACTGTAATCTTTTACCACGTTACGTTTTTGAAGTTCGCCCGCATTGTCGACGATCGTTTCACCATTCGCAATTTCGCAATTGTTCACGTCTACTTGTATGAGGGAGGCTAATTCTTCGTTGATATTATCTTGCATTAGTATACCGTTCATCTGCAGTTGTTGCAGAAAAATTGGATCAATTTCCACTATCTGGCTCTGATTTGCTTCTTCAAAAGCTATGTGCAGAGATTCTTCCTTAGGACTTGCAGTCTGAAAATTTATTACTTAGTTTTAAAACGTTAGAAGACGATAAGTGACGTCTGTGATTGCAATTGACTCATGAATTTAATGTAAGAAAGTTCCTCAAGTATAAAACCTACCAACTTTACAGTCATTTGGAGCCTACAGGTGCAGCGTTATCCAAAAATTAGGAAATCGTAAGCTTACAGACTTAGGGGATAGAATGATGCCTTAAAAATATGAAAGGGAATGAATGGTATTGTAAAGGCCTAAACGAGGGCCTAAAGGGATACTCACAATACTTGTGTTGACTTTTAACTCCAGATGAGGTCCGCGTAGCCAAATAATGATACTAATCTAACATGTAAGTCTTTATCCAAACTGGCAAACCCATAGATGTGTAATGGATGGAAAAGAGTTGTTAAAATATTGCGCATGGATAACAATACCCAGAAACTTACACGAAAAGTATTTACTTCTCTTCTTCAGTGAAACATGAACATGAAAGGACGACTACTGAGCATAGTACAACATGGATTTTTTAGATGTGGACTCTTTCCATTACTAGTACAAAATATGATTCCCCAAAAAAAATCACAAACATCAGTTTATTACTTTTTTTGAAGAATGCAAAGAAAAGTTTTCACTCTTCCAGGCTTTGTTTAATTCTGATGGTCAATAAACGAAAATGTATGTGCTCAATCGCCAGAGACTCTCGTCTTTGCCAACAATATATATATATAATCATGAAACCTTTCTACCCTTAGGTGTAAAGGTATTATAGTACAGCTTCACATTTAACTTAAACAATTTCATTGTGATTACATTAAAAATGAAAAAAAAAGTAAATTCTCATAAAAAAAAAGTAGTATTTATGTGTGTACAAATTTCGCCCACTCTTTCTTATTCTTGGCCAGGGTTTTTGCTGCTCTCCATGTGGTATTTCTCGCCTCTAGTATCTTCCTTATGTTCTCGTCCCATGTTATCTTCGGTCTGCCCCTTTTTCTTTTGTGTTGGCTCCTGGATTCCCATACCTGCTTCACTTGTCTTACGTTGTCCATTCTTTGAAGGTGCCCCCACCACGCTAATTGTCTGTTTTCAATGAATTTTAGTATTGGTTGTACGTCCAGTTCGTTTCGTATGTGGTCATTACGTAGTCTGTCCATTCTTGTTACACCTTTTGTTCGTCTAAGATATTTCATCTCCACAGCCGTTAATTTACTTTTAAGTTTTTGTGTTAACACCCACGTTTCACACCCGTATGTCAAAATAGGTCTGTACACTGCCTTATACACATTTATTTTAGTTTGTTTTGAGACTTCTTTTTTACTTATGAAACTTTTGTTAATCGCGAAATAAAGTTTTAAGGAGTTGTTAATTCTTGCGTTGATTTCTGCATCTTCATTACCTGTTTCGTCTATCATTACCCCGAGATACTTAAATTGTTTAACATGTTCTATGGTTTCCTCGCGTAATGTGATTTTTGGATTCAGTTCTTCTGCTCCTATTGCCATGACCTTAGTTTTCGTGGTATTTATGCTCATGCCATTGCTTCTTAATTCCTCGTCCCACACCTTCAAATTGTTCTGCAAATCCTGTTCCGTGTTTGTAATAATAACTATATCATCCGCAAAAGCACATTCCGATACTAATACCCTATTCATCTGCCTATATCCTATAAAAGCCTTCTGTGTGTTAGCGTTGCAACTTTTAATAACATCATCCATAAAAATATTAAACAGTGTCGGACTTAGCCCTCCACCTTGTCGCAATCCTTGTGTTGTAGCAAAGAATCCTGATTTCATGTTTTTCCATATCACATAGTTAAGAGTGCTTTTATATAAACTTTTAATTACTCTAACCAACTTATTATCAACGTTTCTTTTCAGTAGACTCTCCCAAACTTTATCTCTGGGGATAGAGTCAAAAGCCTTCACTAAATCAATAAATGCAAAATATACTTTTCCTCCTAATTTCTTCTTTTCTATCATTTGTTTGATTGTGAATATGTGATCCTGCACTGATCTTCCTTTCCTGAATCCGCTTTGTGTATCTGTAAGGGTTTGTTCTGTGCTTACTGTCAGTTTCTTATTTAGTATTTGCTCATAAATTTTCATCACAGTACTTATTAGTGTTATTCCTCTGTAATTATTACAATCCTTGTTATCGCCTTTTTTATGGACGGGCACGATTACACCTATCTCCCAATCTTGAGGGACCCTTTCTTCCTCCCATGCTTTGGTATATATCGCTCTTAGCAACTCTTTTCCGGAAAAGCCCATGTTTTTTATCATTTCTCCGGTAATTTTGTCATGTCCGGGTGCTTTATTGTTTTTTATTTCCTTCAATGTTTCTTCGATGTCTTCCCCTGTTATCATTCCTGTAACATTTTCATTTGTGTTTCTTGTTCTTCTCCTAATACTTCTTTCGTGTGTTGTAGGACTTGTATTGTTTTCACCGTCAAGCAGTTTCTCGAAGTATTCTTGCCATCTCACCATTATTTGCTCCTCATTTTTAATTTTCTCGCCATACTTGTCTTTAATTTCCATAGGTATGTTAGTCTTTCCCTCCTTGAGGGTTTTCAGCACCTTGTAAAATAACTTTTGATGGTTTTTACTATCTCTCTGCAGCTTCTCTCCAAATTTGATCCAAGCAGTTTGTTTAGCTTTTATAATAGTATCCTTGACCAATCTTCTTTGTTCTTTGTAAAAATTATAGTTTTCGTCATTTCTGTTTGCTAGGTATTTTTTCCATGCTGTTTTTTTTCCTTCCACTTTCTCCCTAATATCGTTTGTCCACCATGATGTTTGTTTACGTTTGTTCGAATGCTTGCATATTCCGCATATCTCTCGAGCTGTCTCTATCGTTATGTTCTTGAATTTTATCCATAGCTGCTGTAATGACATGTTTCCTATGCTGCCAGCTGTTTCTGTCATTTTTCGATGTGTTGTCTCTTTATACTTCTTCGCAATGTCCATGTTAGAAAGTTTATACGTTTTTATTGTTTCAAATTCCATTTTCTTACAACTCAGCTCCTTTTCCTTGTGATTTTCCACGTTTTTTATTCTTGCTACCAATAGATAGTGATCACTGCCGATTTCAGAGCCTCGTCTTACCCTAACATCTAATATGTCGCTTTTAAGGTTTTCCGGTACCAGTATGTAGTCGATTATTGATTTTTCATCTCTGCCAGGTTCTACTCTGGTATATTTATGGATGTCTTTATGTTTATAAAATGTATTCGTTACTATAAGGTTATGCATTTGGCAAAAGTCCAATAAGCGTCTTCCATTTTCGCTCCTTGCTTGTTCTCCGTATCTACCAATAACTGATCCATATATCGCATCTTTCCACCCGACCCTCCCGTTAAAATCTCCTAGGACGTATATCTCCCCTGTACATCCTTCCATCACCTCATTTAGTTCATCCCAAAAAAGTTCTTTCGTGTCCGCTTTATCATTTTCATTTGGTCCATATGCGACGATGATAAATCTATGTTGTTTGTCTGCTTTTTCGAGTTCTATGAGAAGTATTCTTTCTGTTCTTGCTTCCCATCGATGAATTTTATCCGTTAGTTTGTTGTGTATTAAACATCCAACACCTGCCGCTGCTCTATCTTGTATTTTCACCCCGCTGTAGATAAGGACATGACCGTTCGGCAAATACTCACACCCTTGCTTCTTCTTTTTTGTTTCAGTTATCGCGAGTATATCTAGCTTGGCGTTTTCGAATTCTTCAGTTAGTTCAGTTTCTTTCCCATTAATGCTCCTGATGTTCCAAGTTGCAAGTTTCCAGAATAAATTTTTGGTTTTCCTTATGTCATTACCTTTTCCATTGCAATTTTTCGTTACCATGTGACTGTCGAGATATGTGTTGGTTAGTTTTTTGGTGTTGATGTGCGCGTTACTTTCCTTGATTGTTCCATATAGGAATCCCCTGTCGGTGATCTCTCGCTTACTGTACGTTTGGCAAAATTCATTCTTTCTCCACCTTCCGTTATGTGACTGCTACTTAGCTCTTCAATACCGTACATTTCTCCATTAATGATTAGTTTGTTATACTTCATTTGTGTTTTGTATCCTTTTTGCTTCGCTTCTTTCATGTGTGGAATTAACATCTTCCTTTCTTCCAAAATTTCTCTCGAGTAATCCTCATCGATCCATATGTTGCTACCTTTCAAGTTTTTAGAGCTATGTAGGATTTGTGTTTTCTTCATACCTGATGTTAATTTAATAATTATTGGTCTTTTATACTGGTTTTTAAATTTCCCTATTCTTCTGATTTCATCTATATCATTTTTTTCATCCATTTCAACCCCTATATCTTGCATTAACTTTGTTACTTTATCTCGCGTGTCTTCAGCTCTTTCGTTTATAATATCCTCAACTCCTTTGATTATGATGTTTTTCCTCCTTATTTCTCTTTCCAATGAGTCTATTTTTCTGTCTTGGTGTAGTATTTTTTCTTTCATTAATCGATTTTGTTCCTTCATTGCAGTGTTTTCATTTATTAGTCTTTCAAATTTATCATCCATTCCTGTTAATTTGTTTGCTATTTCGGCGAACATGTTTTCTATTTTTTCCATGTTACTTTCCTCCATGCTGTATTTTATTACCGTAAATGCGCTGTAATTTTTGTTTGGCGCGCTCGAATTTTGTTAACGTTTACGCGCTATAATTTTTATTTACCGCGTTCAAGGGCGCCCGCTATCTATTTGTTTATTTAGAATGTCAATTGAAATTATACTTACAGTAGATTATTAGCCGTTTTCCACTTTTTAAGCCCGATTTTACGTACACTGGTTCAAACTGTGAAGCTGTAAAATGTGTTAACACTAGTTATTTTTCAATAAAGTTTACTTATTATACGAATATCGAATTATTTGTCTGCACAACGCGGTGAGCCGTACATACGGTTTTCACTCCGCGAATCAACCTTTCGTATAGCTAACGCACAGAAATGCAGCGCGCCACGAATCAGCAAGTAACAGATACAGCGAACCATCAAACTGTATTAGGTACTTCCCTCACGGAATAGTTACGGGTCAATCGAACAGAGCAACATCACACCGATACTCAACTCCTCATGAATAACAGAAGTAGGTAAATACTTAATTAAACAAAATAATGACATAATCATCTGTACAGTATTACAAACACGATTCATCTAACGGTACTTAAAACAAAGGCATGGAGTACGCCATGATTCAGATATCGTAGTTTATGCAAAATCAGCAAAATGTAAATAATATCAAATTGTGGCAAGCATTCAATGGTTAAATAGCTAGTACAAGAAAGAATAAAATGGTTACTACCTGATGTAAATACACCTTCAAAACACCATCACCCAAAATAATCAAGAATAATAAAAAAAAAAAACAACCGGGAAAGCGTGTGCCTTCCCTCGGCCTCGTCGCCATCTTCTTTTCCTTCTCCCCTAGCCTCCTTTCCAAAATTCCCTAGTATTCGGCATCTGCGCAAAACGGTCGTTGGTTATATACAGAGCATATTATATTTTTGTTTCAGCTGTAAACGTGTGTTGCCTAACCATCAGGGTGGATTATCACAAGATCAACTGTATTATTGACATTCACAGAGTTGTTCGTGTTCAGTTTACGACGAGCGAATTTTGTAACCGGATCCGTGCGCAGCGGGAGTGTTGCCATTTTGGATGAGCTAATGTCGACTGGGTATTAAAATATAAGTCCAGCTTTCATACAGGCTGTACATTTTAACGATTATTGACATTTACTGACTTTCATTAAGAACGAAGTGACTATCGTGAGTCCTTTTATTTATTCGAAATCGACCGCAGATGCAGATCGTATTCCATTAATTAACAAAATTAGGTAACGGCGTTATATATTTATGGGTGTTCTTGCGTGTGTGAATGTAATATGATTGTGCTATACGAATCTTGAAGAAAACCTAGATTTCAGAACCTAATTATGCCTTAAAAAGTTTTGGTGAGTTGATGCAATCGTTATCATCAGTTCACTATCAAAAATCATTAAAAAATAGCCAATGGAAGCAAAGGTTTATTGCGGGTTGTTAACCAACGAAAACATCCTGAGCTTAGTGAGCTAATGATAATCATTGTGTAATGAATGAAAGCGAGAGAAAATTAAGGCGAGTGAAGCGGACAAATTCAATAAGGCGAAAGTTAAACCTGAGTTTCGGCGACCATGGGACAACTAAACCGAAAGGTGAGATTTGTGTCCCTTGTGATGGCGATCATTCTAGCGTCGACTACGAGAAAGGCCAGTCCATGTCTTTGATAAACTTCAAACGGTAGCTCGAAACAAGAACAGGTGTTTCAATTGTTCGAAACGGGGCCATGGTTTCCAGCTTAAGTGCCAATGGTATTCTAATCATCACGTCATGATATTGTGTAGAAACCTAGCAAGTAATAAATCGACAGTTACGCTTGTGTTTTTGAAGCGAAAAGTCAAGAGAACATTTGTGATAAAATTCCCGCTGTTAATTTTATGTCGAACAAGGAGGTGTTAAACAAGGTATTATTCTATCAGATACTGGCTCACCAGTTGAACCGCTTAGTATTCTAATTGGTGTTGACATGGCTGGTTAATTGTTGACTGCAAACCGTGTTAAATTAGTCAACGGGCTAGTACCGTTAGAGGTATTAGACTGATGTTAATGGGAAAATTGCCTGTTACTACTTCCAAACGAAATGATATAACTTTAAATGTGGTTTCTCTGTTAATTCAAGATCGTGCTATTGCCAACTTTTGGGATCTTGAGACTATTGGTATAAAGGACGTCGCAAGTCAGAAATCAAAGAAGACGCGAGAAAACGAAACGAAACGGTTTCTAGAGTCAATGACAGTTAATAAAGGTCGCTATGAGGTAGAGATTCATTGGACTAAAGATCATTTGCTGCTGTCGTCCGATAAAAGACATACAGATAAAAGATTATTTTTGCTTACAAAGCAGTTAAAATTAGAAAACCCCTTGTTGGAATATGACAAGAATTTGCAAAAATGGTCTAAAAAAGGGATTATTAAATTCATTCCAAAAAAATGCCGCTAAAAGGGAGAGAAATTACTTGAAGTTCCTTTGGCAGCCCGATCCTCCACCTGCAGAGATGGTTGAATGAAGACATGCACGTGTTGTTTTCGAAGTATCGAGCAGTCCTTTGTTCTTGGAAGCAGTGATAAAATTCAATTTGCAAAAGTTCATTTGATTAACTCCTTTATAAATGAGTATTTTCTGGAATTATTAGAATAAGGAACTTTTGTACCTCAATTTTATTTATCATTTTATCAAGGTGCTCATTAATGCGAATGTGACAGTTTCGATTAAGCTTTTCGCTTATTTACGAAAGATAAAGGTAATTGTTAGAGATAACGTGACAATTTTAATCATTAAGAAAAAAATTGTATTCTTAGGTAGAAATGTTGATTTAGATAAGGGAAATTCTAAGAATTAGTATGGACGTGAGTATTTGAGTTTCGTTGTATTGGTTATTGTCGTTTCTATGCAGTTTTTATTGGTTGATAAAGAAATTTAATTTAATTTTGATTTAAATACGAGAAGACGGGGAAAGAAGACGCCTTTTGTTGGTTTCCAAGGCCGAGTTACGGTCCGTTTATAACGGTTTCGAGTGCGTTTCTTCAGAAGAGAAAAAGGTCTAGTTCGTGGCCGACTACGTGTTGACGTGAAGAACTGTTATCAAGTTCGAGTTAGTTGTCAAGTTTGGTTTTCGTTTGTGCTGTTTTCGAAGAAGACGAATGTGCAAGCTTTTTGAGTCAATGTGTTTGGAGTGTGTACGGCAAGTTCAAGTTCCTGATAAGGGGTATGTTAGCGAAAGAAAAGGATAAACTTTACTACGACAGCATCGGAGGAAGGAAGCAGTAAAGCCAAGTGTATTTTCATGTGTCATCAGACGTTTTTTTGTTTGCGTCGGATTGATTAGTGATTTGCGTGTACGTATTTTATTTGGATATTTTGACTAAAAAAACAGTAAGTAACTTTTTTTGGTAATTAATTGTAATGTTGTTCTTAAACACTCATGTGGAATTTTAATTTAATGTGGTCCATCTGCATTTTAACGGGATTGTATTGGCTGTTTAAATTTTGTGTATTTGTAAAATAAAATTTTGTTTGTGTAATATCACGCAAGTTGTGTGTTCGTTCGGACCTTTTTCACGATGAGCAGATAACTCAATTACGATTAACTTTACTGATTCTCGCCCAAAGTTAATTGTAAGTGTTAGTCAGAATTTATCCGGGTGTGGATCTACACCGAGAAAAGTTATCATTGAAGAGCTAGCCTGGTTTGAAGTGTTTTGTGTTGGTCCTTTCTGGCAAGGATCAATGCATACAGCAATATAGATAGCTTCCACAACGGTACTTACTATCGTTGATTGCACGAGACGGAACCTGCAATGTATTTGTGAAAAATCGAATTAGCGAGATGGGACAGTTGGCTAAATCTGGTCGCTGGAGAGTTGTACCAGGTGAATTAGATCCGATGAATTCTCCAGAATGTTCAGCTAATCATTTGTTAGCTTCGAAATGGTGGGAGGGCCCTTTATGGTTTAAACGAAATTCAGAACAATGATAAAAGTCACGAGACGAAGTTGATGAAGCATAGAAAGCTTTCACTTAGCTGTTTACCGAGCAGTGCACGATCTTTTTTATCGACGGTGAAATTCTTGGATGCATTACGACGTTTTATTGCATCCCGGTACAAAGATTCACATTCGCGCGTGCTCAATAGGGGCATAATTATAACACATTTTGTTCAGAGTATCACAAAATGAGATCGATAGGCCGCACATCGGTTTTGAGAAATTATTAGTGTAATGCAATGGGAAGAATGGAAATCATTTAAACTTCTTTATTTACAACAATGCAGTCTGTGATTTACAGAAATGATTCCTTAACCTTTGAATCCTGCTGTTCGTTTTTTTAACAGGCGTGCCTTCAGATTCCGACGAAGGTTTTGTCGTAAACGTATTGATTTATTGGGGTTGATTTTACGTTTGCTTGGTCGGTAAAATAAGGATAATACTAAAAGGGAAAGCTTTTTAGAGTACATGGATTTTGCACTAACCGTTTCTCCAAATATCAGCTCCCGTGGAATCGTCTTCTTCGTCGCTTTCTATTGAATTATCTTCGCTGTTTGATCCGTTTCCGATGGGTGTGGTAGCTGACAAATTTTCACCATTGTCTGATTTTTGAGAAATCCAATCCAAAAAATGAGAAACATCAGTGTATACGCCGAGGTTATTCTTTTGTGCACATCCAAACCCAAATGAAGTTATTCCTAAGTATAGAATTGTGTTCTAACGGCAAGTTATAGATTAGGGTTTATATTATTTAGACAGAGTCTACATGTCATTCGTGAATTAGTGACACCTTACGCTAAGAAAGCAATGCTGATTATCGTACCTTGTTGAACATATAATCCTTTTTCGTTCACAACGACAAATGGTCCGCCACTGTCTCCCTAAAAAATTAAATAAGATAATTCGGAGGAACTGTTAGTAACTGTCTATTATCATATCCTTCAAGAACAATTAAGAATTTCAAATTTGTGGATATGATTCACATTATTACCAAGCAAGCATCCACTCTTCCATCCAAGTACCCCGCGCAAAATGCGTGTTGCAGTTCACTTCCATTATGTTCGTTGCGCTCCAACATACTGCGACATTTGTAATCTGAAAAGATTAATAGACGAGCTTCTTGCAGTTGGCAAGGAATAGTGTCATTCTTGGGATAGATTCTGCCAAAACCGTGAATAAGTCCTTCCCTACCTCTCGATGCACTGTTCAATTCTGCAACATATTTAATGTGCATAATAGTATGATTGACCCGGGCGGGTGATATGACCAACTCCAGACTTACTGTTCTTTAGAGGGAGCACCATCCGATTTGAAACACTTTCAGTAAACATATTCCCCATGGCGAAGTAAGTAACTTACATTATAAATAGAATACCTACCTGTTGATGGTAAACACACTGGAATGAAATTTGTAGCTTCTCCCACAATATTAATTAAAGCAATATCAAAATAAGGCATTTCTTCGAAATAATTTTCGTGAATGTAGATTTTTGAACAACGAAAATGCTTTTGATCGGTTTGCTTTTTGCAGTTATTGTGTGTGCCCATTCTGATCTTGAATATCTTTTCTATTTTCATGTCACCATTTCTGTAACACGGAAAGTTACCGATAGTGTATATGTATAGTCGGCTAAAACCAAACATTATGTTTTTGAAATATGACTTAAAGCAATGTGCAGCCGTCAGCAAGGTTTTCAAGCTAATTAAGGATGCTCCGCAAACTACTTCATGATTAGACATTAGAGATGCAAACCATGCGTATTTGTAATATCCCACGTCGTAGCCTCCAATAATTTTTTCGTGTACAGGTGAACCTTTGCGTATTCCACATGACAGACCTGAAGGAAAAGAATTTAAACAGATTTATTCAAAAAATGTACTCTCCAACGAGGAATTGAGTTACTTATTATATTTTTTTTAATTTATTTTTATTTTGGGCTGTATTTTTAAGTGGGCGGGGTTTCAGCCAAGGGCTACTCTACCAACCCAACCCTCTATACATTTACAAATATCAATGCCCGACCTCCGATTCGAACCAGGGACCCTGACTACCGCAGCCGCGTTTCCACGCCACTGCGCCATATACAGACCTGAATAAAACTATTGCGATTCGATTCTGTAAATGGTAGAAAAGTATTTTAAATATATAAAACAAAAGTATGTAAGCTATCATGTAGCGGAAATGAATTTTTTTTAAAATTTGGTATATGGTTTGTTGTGTAAATTTACGTAGTTTAGACGATGGATAATTTTTGATTAAATGGCTGCATTGCAATTTGTTTATTTTCTTGTAAAATTACGCAAAGGAAAGATAAGGGACAGTTATAATTGTATTAGGTGATTATTTAGTTTATTTCATTTTGTGAAGTGAATTAATTTGTAAACAGATGGTCGCAGGTGTTGCGAATTAGATAATAATTGTGCGTATTTTAACAAAATAATAAGGAAATCATAAGGAAGTGGAAACTGACATGAAAAAGAGAGGAAGGAGTTAAATAAAACAGGAAGGTTGCTAACGGGGCCCTTCGGCTTTCACTTTTTGCCGTTTGTGTGAAGTCGGGTCCAGCGCCGCCGCATTGTGTTTTGGCCACTTGTGTGTACAGCGTCGCCTCCTCTTAAGTTACCGCAACGATGGCTTTACTTTACTTCAGCTGTTGTTTAATGCAATGAATTAATTATTATTTTTGTATATTTGTTATTTTTATTCAAATCTAATTTTCCTTTTCATGTATGTAGCCTCACAGCAAAATCATGTTTATTTTTTTTAGTTAAAATTTTTTTTACTTATATTTGACTCGCTTTGGTCTTTTTTTGGACGTTTCTATCTGTTGCCAGTGTCGTAGTCAGGAGGAAATTCATTCTGAAGGAGCTGGATTCCCGATTGATCACACTGATATGAGTCGTATTTATAAACCTACAGAATACAGGGCGTTTCAAAAAGAATCATCCGATTTTAAAAATTTATTGCTATTCATCTATAAGTCCGATTTGATAGAACAATGTACTGTTAGTAAGAGGAAGCTCTCGAGTTTCGCGTGGTTTCCGCTAGGTAGCAGTAGCGCGCTTCTGTCAACGCCCAGCTCAGTTATTGTCAAAATGGCGTCTAAACAAATTATAAACCTACAAAATCGGATGATTCTTTTTGAAACGCCCTGTATGTCACTCATACTGCATTTGCCTTCAGTGAAATTTTGGAGGCGGTTGAAGTCCCCTCGCCCCCTTCCTCCCTGTGGCTACGGACCTACTGTCTGTTGGGACAATAAAGAATTATTGTTATTATTATTGTGTTCCACACCTAATTGCCCTCGATCAAACAAACACATAAAATCAAACACTTCCAAATCGGACGGGAACTCGCTCTATTAAAATTGTTCATGTATAATAATAATAATAATAATAATAATAAATAGACCTGAGTTCTCACAAGAAACGCCGACCATAATAATAATAATAATAATAATAATAAACGCAAAAACCTAAACAGCACTACTAGTTCACAAAATACTGTAATATCTCCACGAATAACCCAAGCAACCACACAAATACAACCTCAAGAACAAAGAAACACAATAAATACAAGTAACGCAACATGCACTACAAAGACAGGTCCACCCAATAAAGTTACACGCCCTAGCACAGTTAAAAAACACAATACTCCTTCTTCTCAGAAACAACCCACTCGTATACAACCGAAACGCAAAAACCTTAACAGAACTACAGGCTCACAAATACTGCAATATCTCCACCAAAAACCCAAGCAACCTCACAAATACGACCTCAGGAACAAATAAACACCATAAATACAATTAAAAAACACAAAACTCCTTCTTCACAGAAACACACCACGTTATCACAACCCACTCGTATTCAACCCAAACGCAAAGCCAAAGAAACACTTACACAATAAACTCCATTTAATAAAATTACAGGAATTATTATAATGATTTTTTTTGTTTTGTTTTGTTTTCCTCTTTCCTGATAGCGTTGGCTATTGTGCCCATCAATAGGTATGTTGGACCCTACATAACTTCACCAGACACAGACACAGACACTAATCGTTACTTGATTTTAATCCGTGCGATTAGTTAACCAGGCTAGACCTGAGTTCTCACAAGAAACACCGACCATAATAATTTATTGTCTGGTGATCAACAAAAACATTGACATAGACATTGTCCAGTTGTATCTAAACGAACATTGAACAGTGGCGTAGTAAACAGTTAGTAGTGCTAGACAATCTAAACACCGTTTTAAATTAAGCAACACGTAGTACGCCTCATTAAGTTTTTTCCACACGTGGTTAATGTGTGGCCGCCATGACACGTCATCGTCGACAATGATGCCTAGGAACCTGGCAGTGTGGGTAATTGGTTCATGGACCATTTTAAGCTTACCGAAGTGCAAACGCACAGTTTTGCTCACATTTAGAACGAGTTTGTTTGCACCACACCAGTTCTGAAATTCTTCGATGGCAAGGTTGGCTGAACGCATTTTTCTGCAGTATCTGCCGAAACTACAATATTGGAATCGTCCGCGAAACCGATCAGTTTTCGATGTTTTATGTACTTTGGTAACTCGGCAACGTATAACAGAAATAATAAAGGGCCAAGTACGGCTCCTTGAGGGACACCCAAGTCAACTTCAAACATATTTGAAAGTGAGCCGTCGCAGTCGATCGTCGATGTATAGTTGCCTTCCAAATAAAAACGATTTTAGCAATTTCAGCATAGGACCTCTAATGCCCACCTGCTCCATTTTGTAACAAAGGCAGTCAGGTTGAATGGCATCGAAAGCCCAACTGATATCAAACAGTAGCAGAGCAACAAATTTCTTTCGATCCAACTCGGTATAAAAATGTGACAATAGATCAAACGCAGCACTTTCAGTTGACATACCTGTCCGGAAACCATGCTGACATGATGGTAAAATTTAATTATTTGCTTGAGCATTGCGTGCCGAGCGATCCTTGCTAGGTAGGACATAACAATATACTATCATGCTTTGATATAGCCGCGACGACCGCGCCGGCCGCATGTAACATCTCACGTAGGACATTGCGTAAAGCTGTTCATTCTGTCTGCGTAATGCGCCTTTTTAAAAAACTGAATTTGCGACTCGTGCGATGCAATAATTTAGCCAAAATCTTGTTATTGCAACTTATGAACTTTAGTGTAATGATTACGTGTGCAGCCTCTTTTTTCTTAATTAGTACATCCCAGATAAGTCGTCGGTCAAGTACAGGTTCTGGTGCAATACACTTCTGGTATTTCTTGAAGGTCGCTTTGTCATTCTTGCAAAAATCGCCATCTATATTCCGCATTCATCTGAGCGCATGATTGTACACCAGAAACGAAATTTCCACTTAACTGTAACTCACTGATCCAGTTGTTCCTTTGTGCGAACCGTTCCGTATGGGGCCTTGCAACAGCATGCGCAATTTCATCGCATCTACCGAATGCCAAGTAGCCAAGTACGTATAAAAATAATACTAAACGGTCAAATCCTCTTGGTTATGTAGTACCTAACTAAACTCAACTAACATTATTGCGGGATAGCTTTTGTGAAATTTCTGTGCAAACACGTCAAAGAAAGTCTTGTTAATAATTATAAAAGTATTTCACTATTTTTGAATGTATGATTTAGAATTTAGAACGGTAGGTTGTACGTACAACTCAACATTTTTCCATATAAAAGATTGTAAAAATGTTATTCGTAATAATTACATCCTTAAGAAATGACGATAAGATGGAGTTTTTTTAGTTTCTTTTCCTTATTCAGTGGAGCGTTGATACGCCACGAATTTAAACACTATACAGGGTGATTCCTGCCACCGTTTGGGAGCGTATAGGGGGTGCCTAGGGGAAGTCTTTTCATATAGGACACTTGGGGTCGGAAATCCAAAATAAGGGCGCCAGAACCAAATTTATCTTCTGGAATTTCACGCCTGTATGTAGGCAACCCAACCGACCGACGTTTCGCGCGGAGCGATGCAGAGCGAGTTAGCGCGAGGAAGCGACATGGGAGGGAAGGAGGGAAAACGACAGTCAAAAGCAATAACGTTTACAAGTGTTCAACGTGGCCACCGTTGTTCTCAATGCACTTCCTACATCTAGCCAACCACTCCCCTCGAACTCGCGTGAAGACTCCTATGTCCTGGCGAACAGCCTCTCCGGCCATGACGACGCGCGCAATTAAGTCCTCTTCGGATTCGACGGGAGTCTCGTAGACGTGCGCTTCCATCACACCCCACAAGTAAAAATCTAATGGGGTGACGTCGGGCGAGCGGGCAGGCCACTCCACCGCACCTCCACGGCCGATCCATCTGTCCGGATAGGTTTGGTCCAAGTGTTCCCTCACCTGCCGCCCGTAGTGAGCAGGGCACCCATCGTGCTGGAACCAGTGGTCCCAGTACAAGTTCACTGGAACATCCATTAAAAGTTCTGGTAGCACCTCGCGCAGGAAAATCAGGTAATTATGGGCATTTAGACGCGGAGGGAGGATGTATTCCGTGTTAGTAAAACGTGCCATAGTGTTTATTCACTTGATACGCGTCGTTGCAGACGGGATTTCGTGGGTTTAAACAAAATTCTGATCAAGTGTCAGCCACACATCGCCGCCTGAGATCGCTCCGTGTGCACCGCCGGCCGGTTGGGTTGCCTACCTACAGGCGCGAAATTCCAGAAGGTAAATTTGGCTCTGGCACCCTTATTTTAGATTTCCGACCCCAAGTGTCCTATATCAAAATACTCCCCTACGCACCACCTACACGCTCCCAAACGGTGGCAGGTACTATAGGAATCACCCTGTATGTATATCGATAGATTCGCATTTAAATTTA